GATAAAGATAAAGATAATGATAATGATAATGATAATGATAATGATAATGATAATGATAATGATAATGATAATGATAATGATTATGATAATGATAATGATAATGATAATGATAATGATAATAATAACAAGAATAATTATAATTATGATTATAATAGGGTTTTCTCCACAGCTGCTACACAACAATTACAATAACTTGTGTCTTATCCAGTTATAGATCGCAAAAAGAGTGCTGAGCAATTTTGCTGTATCAGCATACATAAAAGATGCAGTCATTGGAGGCCACTTATTAAGAACTGCCAAGAGTAAATAAAACACTTGCCTATGGATTGTGTTTCCTAAATTTATTTTGCCTTTTTGAATGCCTGTTGTGTTTTTGTGAAAGTAAAATGCAGGGCTTGGCCATTATTTGAGAAAAAAAGGAAAGCCTTATACATGTACAATTCTTAACTGTTGACAGTCATTGCTACCAAGCAGGGCACAAGAGTTCCGAGTGTCCTGTATGCAGCCACCCGCTGAACATTTTAGGTCGCCCTCTGCCCTATGCACACTGTGCGCAATCCAGACTGGTCTGTCCTATGTCAGGACATATCATGAATGAGAACAACCCTCCTATGGTGTTACCTAATGGATACGTATATGGAGAAAATGTGAGTACAGTGGAACCCCGTTAATACGGTCACCAGCGGACCACAAAAATCTGGCCGTATTAACGGGGTGGCCGTATTAAAAGGGGTTCTTTAAATAAGAATATGACTGAGTGAGCTTTTGTTCAGGCCTGAATAAAGTGGCCGTAATAACGAGGTGGCCTTATTAACCGGGTGGTCGTAAGTCAGGTTCTACTGTATAGAGACAAATTCACCAATTGAAGCCTTTTCTTTTCATTCATAAGTGCTGGCTTGTACACGTCGTGAAAGGTAATTAAAAATTGGCCAAATTCACGAAAAGTTCTTAACAAGAAAAATTTTAAAAGTTGAAAAAATCTGAGTAATTTTATTTTCACAAACATGCTATGAATTTATTGAAAATTCCTTGAACGCTCAAGACTACCTAAAAAAAAAAAAAGAAATATTTTGCCATCAGAAGATGGTGGGGACAGCAGTGGACACAGTTATTTCCTGTGGCTGAGAAAAAAAAATTAAGTCATTAGCAACCACAGTACCTTAGTAATCTTGCTCAATAGGAATTTGAGGATTATTTTCATGTCCCCCTAACCTTACCTAGACAAAGTATTTTAGATGTGATCTTGAGGAAAACAATTCCTCAAATTTTGTTTAACTGTGCTAGAGCAGTCCCTGAATGAAATGAAATGTGATCTTGAGGAAAGCAATCCCATAAGTATTGCGGAATTCTGTTCTAAACGGCCTGGGTAGAAAGTGGCTTGGACTAGGGTCTAAATTGTGAACTGTGCATTGTAAGATTCAGATTTACAAAGTCCTTTACAAAGAGAGTCGTCTCTCTACTTCTTTGTCAACCAGGATGTTTTTGTGCTATTATGTTGACCTCTGTTTTTGTTTATTTTCTATTTCAGGCGTTACGTGGTATGGCGAGTGAAAATGATGGCCATGTCACGTGCCCTAAGACTAAGGAGACTTTCCGCGTTGATCAAGCGGACAAAGTGTACGTCATGTAGGGACAAAGGAAGGATCCACTCCTGTCTTGGCTGAGGTACCTGCAGTGCCTCCAAATTGCAACTGAGTGATGTTGTTAACTTTGTTGTCTTGTGGATGGCTGGACTGCAACACTGAGAATAATTCAGCCTACATGTAGCCATCAAAATGAGGTTTAAGAGCTTTGAACAACCAAGCAAAAACATCTGGCAAACAATTACCTGTATTTCTGGTTGTACTTGTGAAAGTAGCCAGAGAGTTTCCATTTTTGAAAAATTGTTGTGTTGGCTTGCCGTGTCGCTTGGCAACCATCCCAGTGCGAAACCATGAGCACAGTCTGTTGCCCAAGACAAGTTATCTGTGAATTCTTAAAGAATTGGTTCGTGCTTAGTGTACGTATATCGAGTTATGGATGCACGTGGGTAGTTTGGAGAGCATGAAAGAAGCGTAAGAGTTGCTTGATGCGATAGCCGAGTGCAACTCTAGCTTCTCGAGTGCTCCGGCACCAAACTTCCCAAGTTCATCCATAACTCGATATACGCACAGCTAAAAGCATGAACCAATTCTCTTATAACATGGCGACAACAACTTGGGCGCTAGAACATTTTCTGTTTGTGATTGACTACAAAATTCTCACAATGCTCGGTGAAGGAAAACAAAGGTCATTAGGATCCTAACACGCCACAATCAGTTGAGCAACGGTTCAACGAAAACGCTTAACCTGGTTTCTAAAATTGTCAACGAAAAATTCGCTTCTTCAAATAATTCTAATGAAAACGTAGGCAAACAAAGTCAAAATTCTTAATGAAAATGTAGACAGACAAAGTCAAAATACTCAGGTTTAAGTAAACATCTTAGCTTGCCGAAAAGTTAAAGGCTCAAAGTAGAGGTTGGATTGTTCATAATAATCTTCACTTTGCCGAAACTTCAACAAAAGGAAGTTGCACTAAACTCGACGTAAATTTTGTAGCTAAATTGAAACTGTACACGTCAACTTATATACGCACGGCCGTGCGTACATAGAGATTTCGTTCATGAGATCTCAATAAGAATTAGATGGGACTAGCGCGTGTGCTATCTTATATTATATAATAATTAAATGAATGCGCGCGCTATGATTGGTCAATCATCTATGGCCGTTTATTGTGCCAGTAAACTCATGGAAATTTCGCGTGTCTTCTGAATTATTATATAAAAGTAACAGACCACAAGTTTTTATGGTTTAGAGGCATGATAAACCATAAAAACTTGTGGTCTATTGCTTAAATAATAGTTATTTCCCAGAACACATGAAGTGAAAGACTTAGTTACGTGCTTCTGTTAACTCGAGAATATCCATTCTTGAAATACTGGGATTCCCAGAAGTAGAGTGGCCTTCTTGATAATTAAATACCCCGGTTTGAAGAAGACTGACATTGTGTGTGCAAGGTCTCGAACGTCTTGCCACTTTCTTTATTTTCATTAATGTGATTGTTAAAATTGTACAGAATAGATTTTGGTGCGAGGGTTGCAAATACAGTATGTCTTTTACATTTATGTACAGTTATTACATGAACACAGGGTTTTTTTTTTTTTTTTGGTTGGAGGATTTCGTCGACCTGCTAATTTAAAATGCTTGATTCAGACAAAACAACGAATACCTGAGCTGTACAGTTAGAGAAATGTTCCTTGAGATTAATCTAGATTCTTCGCTTTAGTCATCAGTAAATGTACATACGCATAGATTGAGCAGGCTGGAAAAATGTATTGACTTTGAATTGTTTTTATTGAAAGAATGCTTGCAACGTGAAATTGGTAGCTAATAACTGACAATCAGCTGTAGACGATCTAGACGATGTCGATATTTCGGTTTCGATTCTTGTAGAAATCACTGTTTCTCATTTCGTTGATTTGTAACTAGTTGTTTCATCAAACCATCATTCCTCTTTTGTGTGGTAAGTATGTTTCCTCTTTGAAGCGTTTGATTCTGAGAAATAGATACACTTTTCCGTGAAAAATTGCAACTTAGCGAAAAATGCCTGACATTCCTTCAGTATCTGAAAGATCAAATTTGCCTAACAATGAACATCACTTTCTTTGTGATATCTAAGGGATTTTTCCCTTTAAAAAGGGGTTTTTTCCCTTTTTTTAGGCCATCCAGACCACAATAATAGGCGCCTTAAGATACAAGGACGACAGGAATGAGGACGGTTGCCGGAAGTAAATTTGCACTAGCAGGCATGCGCACGAGAACGTCCAACTCGTGGCCGTCTTCGTCTCGTCGAGGACGCCATTTCGGGGGTTTTGCCGTCTTGTTGAGAACGTGAGCATTTTCGTTTCTTTGTCACTTATTAAGTGTTTCAATCGATTCAATTTTCAGATGAACTTACGATGCTGTTTATTAAGATCACATTTTCTGTACTTATTGTGTAAATGACCCTAAACAGGTAAAATGTTTGATAAATATACTCACTGTGTATTTGTTTTTGTTTCAGTCGTCGCCATGAATTTTCCCGCGCAGTCCACGGCCAAAAAAAGTAAAACGTAAGTAAAGTTGAGAAC